GGTCTGCAGTGTGAGAAGCTGGAGCAGCACTACGGCCTGCAGCCACTCTGCCCTGGGGAGCTGCTGCGACGGGAGCTGCAGGTGCACAGCGAGCGTGGCCGCCTGCTGCGCGACTTCCTGGAGAGAGGGGAGCAGCTTCCGGCTGTAAGGCCACTCCTCTGAGTCTCTGGCCACACCTCCCAAGCCCCTGGCCACACCCCCCAGTCCCGAGGCCACGCCCCTGTCACTCTCACCCCGCCTGTCTTCACAGGACATGCCGCTGGAGCTGATGAGGGAGGCGATGGCTGCTGCCCTCGGGCAGGAGAAAGGCTTCCTGATCGAAGGCTTCCCCCGGAGCGTCCGGCAGGCCGAGGACTTCGAAGCCAAGGTCAGTGGCAAAGGCGCTCGGCGGGAGCGACACGGCGGCCAGTTGGCCTCCGCCTCCTCAGTGACATCTTCATACCTCCATACCGGCACCTCCGGGGTGGGAGGAAGCCAGACTGTGGCAGGTAGCCTCTCGTCACCCCAGGAGACGCGAGCAATCGTGACACGGCTGTGCCATCACACTGTGTCCCGAGTATGAGCTCAGCTTTGGAGGAATATTCTGCCCCTTAAGGAGCGGTGTGTCTCCCACATGAGCAGGACAATCCTCCATGTTCCTCAGGTGACTTGGGTGTCTGGGGTCGGTCTGGTTTTCTCAGGTCGTCATTTTCAAAGGACTGTGTGCAGCGGTTGTGTTATCTGCCTCCTCCAGATCGGTGAGCCCAGCCTGGTCCTGCTGCTGGAATGTTCCACGGACACCATGTGCCGTCGGCTGTCGCAGACGGTGGCTCCGCCCCTCCGGCCCGGAGACAGCAGAGACGCCATGCAGAAAAGGGTGGAGAGCTTCTGCAGCACCGTGGAGCTCATTGCTGCCCACTACGAACGGAGGAAACTCCTGCACAAGGTGTGGGGACGTCCTGGAGTGCGAGGATCCGGGGGGGCCTGCAAAGACGCGCACAAGATCACCCTCATTTAGGATAGAGGGTCATTGTCCGTTCAGTTCAGGATGAATGAAAAGATGACTGAAACTTGTTAATCAGCCAGAAGATGGTGTCACAATTTGGCAACCCAATAATGTCTCAGCCAGCTAACTTTATTCTCCTGTTCAACATCCTACTTCCTTTTGTTTCCTAGATTGATGCGGAGAGACCTCCTGAGGACGTTTTTGTGCAGATCTGCCACATGCTGGATACCTACTAGTAGTGCCATCAAGACGGAAGCCTGTTTGTGGAAGAGATGTCTGGGCGCTGAGCTCTGTACTGCCAAAGGCCTTTCGACTGAACCCCCACGTCCTTTTGAGAAACATCCAGAGTCAGACAGTGACACATTCTGGGTTTTTTAGGGAGTCCCCAACACCGCCCCCCTCTCCCGAAATCAACAGAGGTCATGACAATGGAAGTCTTGGCGCAACGAACCAGAAGCTTGTATCGTGTGCCGACTCCCCCCCCCCCCCCCCCATGCGTGCTGTCCCCAGTGTCCTTGCTCTGTAAGATACCAGCACTCTGACACTCAAAGTGAAGTTACCCCTAATGCGCTTGGAAAAGCAGCTTCTAAGCAAGAGTTTCTGTAGGTTTCTTTTTCACGTTAATCTCGTACATTAGCATTGCATGGAGTCAGCTATCGAAGTTCACCGTCGCTCTTGTGGACCGCAGGCTTTCTCGCTGAGAAACTGTGCTCTTCCGTCTTTATGAGGTGTACATACAGTGAATGTGGACAAAAACGTGCTCTCATTTTACACTTTGTATTCACTTTTTGAAGGTTAAGTGAAAAAGGTTTTATAAGTATTTCACCAGTGCAAAGAGCAAAACCAATGCCACTACGCAGACCGCCCTCACCCCTGTAGTCAGCATCGCTGCAGACAACTCTCCCCTATACGGCCACTGCCACTATACAGACCACCCTGTCCCCTGTATAGCCGCCACTGCTACACAGACCACCCTCTCTCCCTTATATATCCACCACCTCTACACAGACCTCCCTCTCTCCCCTGTAGGATCACTGCCGCTACACCAACCACCCTATGTCCCCTGTACAGCCACTGTCACTACACAGACCACCCTCTGTTCCCTGTATAGCCGCCACTGCTACACAGATCACCACCTCTCCCTTGTATATCCACCACCTCTACACAGACCACCCTGTCTCCCCTGTACAGCCACTTCTGCTACACCAACCACCCTATGTCCCCTGTACAGCCACTGTCACTACACAGACCACCCTTTATCCCCTGTACAGCCACTGCCGCTACACAGACTGCCCTCTCACTGCACTCTTGCTCTCATTGTGGTCTTGAAGTGGAAAATAAAGCACATGTACCATCCTTCCACGTTTCCTACCTGCTTTTGCGTGTGTGCACTTGTTTTATTATAAGATGAGGACCTCCATTTTGGCAGGGGGCCATACGCAGTGTGCACTCAATCTGGAAATGGATCTTGGTGTTGCCCCCCCCCAGGAAACAATCACTCCCTGCAAACACAGAGAGGACTGACCTGGGCGTCCCAGGATTTGAGACCTTTGGTAAAATCCAAGCAGAGCTGCCAGATGCACTGGGGAACTGAATCCGAGTTGCCGAAGGATGCAGCTCATTCTGGAAAATCACCTGTCATCATACACGTTTCTACAGATAAACGTTCTTCAACTGATGAAAATAATGTTTTTTTTTTATTAATAAGCATTATAACAGCCTGGCGAGCACAAAAACTGATCTCTGAGGGCCCCCATTCATTGGGTATGAGCAGGCAGTTTGACTTCACTTGTCATTTTTTGGATTAAGCTAAAACAGGCAGATCCTAAGCCCTAAAGAATTCCCAGCAATAAAAGATTTTTTTCTGAGATCCTGTGAACTCAAAATATTTCCATTTAATATTTGGGACAAAGGCATTTTAGGAATTGGGAATTTTTGGCGAAACAAACCTTCCAAATAAATCAGAGATTTGAATACTTCAGCTCATCACCAGAGCCAGCAAGGACCATGAACTCGACCTGGGCTGCGTTTCCCAGAAGCTCCTCTAACCAGCTTGCATAGCTGTAAGTGTTCCGTTTGCAGCCGTGATTCTGGGACGCGGAACCCTGCTACAGGGCAGCTTTCGTGCTCCTGATCTAAGCACTTCAATTGCATCAGTACAATATATAGCTGAATAAATGGGTACGATAAGGTTGGCTGCAGGGGAAGGTCACCTTTAACTAAGCAGCACTAGCTCTGATCCAAAATGAAGTGAACACACACACACACACACACACGGTCTAAAACAACTTTTTCACACTGTTTCTTACCTTTGTGGTCTAAAAATGCCCCCCCCCCCTGCTTACAGCAGCACAGACTGCTATTGGGTGGGGGCTTCATACCGCTCCTGTCAGGCTGATGCACACGAGAGGTATTTTAATGGGTTGCCGTGGGGGGAGCCTGCAACCTCAGGACCTTCCAGACAGAAATGCCACGGACCACAGTAAGAGGGGAAGCAGCACAGGAGGCTTACAGGGAGGTGGGGGCGATGGAGAGAGGCGTCGGGGGGGGCGGCTGACTGCAGGTACAGCCGACTTTAATCGCCGCCTCACATGAAGCCAACATCTGCATCAACTGTATGAGAGACACACAGAGCTGATCAAAATACAGATTAAACTTGCAAAAAAGTAAACCCCTATTTCTCTGCATATTTACTGTGTGGTGAAATGAGATACCAGTCAATGTCAGATCCGCAAACTCCCGCATCTCCCAGTCAGGAGGACGCATTCATTACTAGAGCAACCGGCTTGCCTAAGACATAATGCACTGGCGCCTCCTAGTGTTCACTTCAAACATTCACGAGCATGTTAGACAGCAGGTGATGGGCTACGCCTCCCCACTCCCCCTAAGGGTGATGGGAGCTGGTCAGGGGCTGGGTTTACGATCACACCGATCAGCACGCCGTGTCACACGAGGGCCAGAGAGAGACGGGGAGCTGACGCCACGTAGAAAGACCATTTGCACATACTTTTATTCACACGATTTCTCCTGACATTTTTACATTATTTAAGAACAGACCGTATACAGAGATACTGAAGTTTGGGGGTGGGGGGCAGGGGGGGGGACAAAACCATACAAAACGGCCTACTGAAGCACAACAAAAGCTACCGTATAAAAGAAGACGGAGGGGGCCGCACACCGTGGCCACTACTCAGACTGTGTCCTTTAAATAGAATGATAAAAATACAATCGCTCCATAAAAAACCCTTATGGATCTTACGCAGACGTTACAGAAATGAAACAGAGGATGGGCACCCCAGGATGGCGAGCAGGCAATTTCACAAAACTTTCCGGAACCTTCCTGAACCCAGGGCAGCGGGAGGGAGGGAGGGAGGGAGGCCGGGTTCACAGGTGAAAACTTCAGACAGAAATGGTGCACAGTTACTACCTCTTTTCACCATATATTTGTATACAGCACATGATTACAACAGAACACATTGAAAATATCTGGGTGCCCACTAATCCTGGGGTCCTTCATAGCAAAACGGCCCTCCGGCTCCCTCCGGCTCCCTCCGGCTCCCTCCGGCTCCCCGGCTTGATGCTGTAGTGCTTTCGTTGGTAAGTGAGCAGGTTTAGTGAGGAGGTTTTTAAGGTTAAAACAACGAAAATGATGAGCGGACACAGTGAGGAAAAGCAGCTTTCAGTGAGAGAGGCGCAGTCCTCTCGCCCCGAGCCGACCCACAAGTCCTCCGGCACGTGTTAAGAACAAACACTGTGATTGGTATAAAAAAAAAAAAAACCCAGGACGAATCAAAATAAAATAAACAGAAAAAAACCAAAAAGCTGGTCTTGGTGCCAAGCTCCTTTCAATCCTTGACAAGAAAGCTCACTGACTGGTTCATAAATACTCACCTACAGACATCTAGCTATATGGGGTTAATTCTTTAGGATCCTGGTGTGACTGCTGTGACTGAAAGGTCTATCCTGCCGTGTGCCTGATCACGTCGGCCTCCGCAGCCGGGACCCCCCCCTGAACTTCTCGCTCGGGAATGTTGGTGGTGCCATTTAGCCGTGTTACTGTGAAGACCTGTTATCGCTACGACAACCACAAGGACGTGTGACCTTGACTCCCGGTTTGCCCCCCAGGGTGGCCGCCCTCTACTGCCGGCGGCCACGCCCTTTAGTGGATTCCAAGCGTTGAACTGCGATGGCTGAGCCGTCGGGAGAGCGCCCCCTGGAGGACGGGGGTGATAGTGCAGCCTGTGTTCGCCTCTGTCATCTGTTGGCGGGGAAGTAGTTGGGGTCCAGGTAGTTGTAGCCGACACTCTGAGGCAGGCAGTAATCTCTGTCCAGAAAGGTCTCTGCCTCGCAGATGGGCTCCAGCCGGTGGTCAGGCTTGTGGGACTCGGACTTGAAGAAGCTGCAGGGGACGGATGACCACCAGGGTGGGGGTTAGCTTTAGCATTGGGGGCATCTTCTACCCCGAAGGTACACACGCTTGCTGGACCTTGGTGCTCAAAACATTATCCTAACATATCTAAATCTAAACAAAGTAAACTCCATTGTACAAGGTTTCCTGCATTCCCATCTTGAAGAGCACGTTTCCCATCTTAAGGGGAAGGACAGGGTTTTGCTCCCCTGGTTAGAGTTTCCATGAATAGCTGCTATGGGTAGCTCATGGTACAGGACAGCGCATCAGCATCCAGGAATATGAGGAGAGCGGCTGGGCTCCGCTGTGAGGAGCAGTGCATGAAGACGCGGTGGAGCTCACCAGTCAGAGCAGGAGCTGCAGAAGTCGACAGCGTTGTCCTGGGGACAGTCCTGACAGTGCCACCTCATGCCCTGGATTGGCTCCACACCACAGGCATCACACTGCGGGGACCAGGGTCAGTCAGAGAGGGACACAGGCGAGGGGCCAGACCACCCCACAGAGACACAGACCTTCTACTTCTTCACTCCACTGAGAAGTCATCCATCCATCCATCCATCCATCAACTATAGAGGCTAAGCTGACCTCCAGCTGCCCCCCGCGGCCACCCTTGCCCCAGCTACCTTGTAGCCCAGGTGCTGCGTGAATGCTCGCGCTGCACATGCATTACCTTGTAGCCCAGGTGCTGCGTGAATGCTCGCGCTGCACATGCATTACCTTGTAGCCCAGGTGCTGCGTGAGTGAATGCTCCATGTGCATTTCCCGCAGCCTCTGCTTCTTCAGCTTCTTCAGCTCCAGCAGCTCCTTGTACTCGGGCAGATGTCTGCACTCGGTGGGGATGCTGTCTTCATCCTGCAGGGGGGTGAGGAGCCAAAAGGCTGAGCAGGACTGGGGGAAGGGGTTGCTGGTCGCAGCCTTCACTGTCAGCACTGTTGCCTTATAGAGCCGGCATAGGCACTCACAGAGTCAGCAGCGGTGGGGTCCTGCAGCGCGCTGTAGAAGCTGGAACGGTCGTCGTCGTCGTCCATATAGACAGGAGGCTCATAGGAGGTCAGGAAGGTGGAGGGTCTGTACAGGTGCTTGTTCAGGTGGTGCTGCCTTTTGGTAGATGCCTGAAAACACAAGCGAGTAAAGATTCGGGTCCTCACATTGACAGGGGCAGGGACAGGGGGCAGAGACAGAGACAGGGACAGGGGGCA